AACTAAGCCCTTTCTTTGCAAAGCAAGGGCTGCTCTATTCTTTCCAAACAATGTTATCGTTTGGCAGCTTCACTCCTGCTTATCTGGCAGCTGAGCATTATCCAGAATGTGGAAGAACTGGGCTCCATGGCCACCCCTCCTCCTGGGGACTCTGTGGTAGGAAGAAACATCCCCACACTCCTGCATCTCCCTCTCCCCATGGCTTCCAAAGGGTTAGGGCATGGCCGAGCAGTCACAGCCCTGGGGCTGAGGATCTCCTCCCAGGGTAGACCCTGCATTTTCCCTGCACCCACTCAGCAGTGCTCCGACACAGCCTCCCCAGGGCTCAGCGCTCACAAAACACTGTTAGCAGAAGCCACAAAATTCACACCCAGCTGTTCACCTTACAAACATCTGGGTTCAATCCCTTTGGTGTCTACTGTGTCGCTCTGGGATTGCACTCACTGTCAACAGGGCCAATCTAAGAGCAAAACGCAAATGCTTGTTACCCAGATGAACATCCTATTGAAGCCAGGAACACCTCAAAAGGCAGGAGCAAACAGGATCTCACCTCCTCACAACCCAACTCTGGTTCCACCTCAACTGGCATACTTCTGGCAGAAGGACATGATCCAATAACCTCTGCCAAGAAGGGCAGAACAGCCATCCTTTGGGCTCAGCTGAGGAACGTGCCACCCAAGAGCTGCAGGAACTGAACGCTGACGAGCCATCCTCCTGCAGCCCCTTTCCTTAGGGCCTCAGGGAGGTTGGGATATCTGTGCAGGCTCTTCATCTGCACCCTCATATATAGGGGACAAAGGGCAGTAGGACAGAAAGGCTCTGCTCACCCCTGGATGGAGGCAGGAGAGCCGAGGCACCTGTCCCCTCCCAGTATGAAGCAGTCAGAGACACCTACCCGCCCACAGTGCGAGAGCCACAGATGTGCAGCCTCTGCTGAAAACCACAGCTCTAAGCACAGCATGGTTAATGTGACCTGACACCTCCTGCAGCAGCCACTCCAGCTTCATCTGCTGCATTACGCAAGGCAAATGTCCTCAACCCTCCACCGGGTCCTGCAGTCTCAGCTCTACAGGTTGCCCTTCTGCACTATCTGTCCATCCTCCCTTGCAGCACTGGGCATTGTGATGCAGTCATCTAGCTTGTCACCAGTCCCCAAAACCCTGACAAAGGCCAGTTCTCACCACCACCACCAGGTCTTTGCACCACCAGGACAGCTATGCATAGCCCTCAGCAGAGCCTGCCAGGACATGCAACAGCAGGAGATAACTCTTTAAACAACCACAGAAAGACATACTAGTTTGTCAACCAAAGCCCCAGCTCCACTTGCTTTGGAGAGCAGCAGTTTTGCAACACAGGCAAGGAGTTCTGGTTTCCATCAGCTCTCCAGTGGAGACCTCAGCCTCACAAGAATTTCTCTAACACACCCCAACCACTGCAAAAAAATACACAGCACAACCAACTGGGACAGAAGCTTGAAGAGATACTGTAAAATTGATTAGTCAACAAAATCATCAGGCCATAAAAGAAGCTCCAGCTGTGCTCCTCTTTTTTTGGGTAGAAAAATTCAAGAGGCAGGGCTCTATTTAACACTTTTTTAATTTTTATTTTGTTTACTAGAGCCTAAGTTACTCTGGTTGACAATTAAGCCCATTATCCAATTCCTTTCTTTTCCACCACTCCCGTGTCTTTTTTCCAGGGCCTTTGAAGAAGCAAAAAAAAAAAGGTAAATTCCAATAAGTGCTATTTTAAAATGAAAAATGCAAGTTTACAAAGAGCTCAAGAAAGTGTTTGAACCATTCATCCTTCTGTTTTAAGACCCCAGCACAGGACTCAATACATGCAATTCCTTTCACATTAAGAGCAATTTCAAGTCACCCCATTGCACATGAGCGCCAAGTTTAGCCCTGCCCCAAACGTTCTGCCAGACCCTTGGTGTAAGTGTAGAAGGGCAAGAGAAAACAAAGATTTAAATTTTGGCTAGTGTACTTTTGCAAGATCACTGTCAGCACATATTTTTCAGTTCATCCAAAACCCAGCAGAGGAAAATTCAAACAATAACTAACTTGGAGGCAAAGCAACTCAGAAAAACTGCAGACAAAAAAACCCCTAATACAATGTAACTCATGGGATTGTTCAACACTAATCATTAACCTGTGTGCTTACGGTATCCCATTGCAAAACAGGTCCTATTGGTTTGGTTTTAAAACTGACCCACAGTTTCTGTGGATGCTTTGGCAAAGCCACTAAGAATGACCCATTTTAATAGTTAAAATATCCCCTCACTGTAGATCTCTGCCTTAGCAGAGGCTATTTGCTGCAGCTGTTCTGTATAGCAGTATCCCAGCTCTGGGCACCACAGGGAGCCCACAGCAAACAACAGGTTTTTGTGCCTGGGTACCATAGATTCCAAGAGCAAAACCTCACCAAATCCAAGACCAACATCATTTCCCAAGACCTTAGGACCATGTCACAGTTCTACCTTTGCATTCGTCATGCTAAGAAACAAGAATTCATAACACCACCACAGAACTGCTCCCTATTTTCCATGTTGGAAAAGAAAAACAATTCAAGGAGGTAAACACAGATTCTCCAGCAAAGGAGCAGGGAATTGCCTGGTCATACTCCCAGCCAAAGCCAGACCAAGCTGCAGTTACATCAGGTTGGGTTTTTTTAGTCATGTTCTCGCCATGTCCAGACTCTCTGGGTCCCTGTTCTCACACCCCACTACCCTCTCTGTGACCAGTTTTTCCCTTAACACCTCACTGAGAAAGCTGTCACTAATATCTAGCTGCAGCAATACAATGAGCCCTTCTCATTCCCACTGCAATCGTTTCTGCCTGGGTGCTAATTTGTAAACTAGACAAATAAAAGAAAAACTTGGGGCTGGAAGTTGTTTTATTGCCATTGTTCTGCCCTTTGGGTGGGATGGGAGATGCCAATGTGGCACATCGCTGCCTTTCTCTGGATCTTCAGACAGTCTTCAATGTGTACAAGACTCTGGGTTATTCCAAGATGACTGTATTTATATTGCTATCTTATATATAAGGATAAAATCCACCGACTGCATTTTTTGAGGAAACAGGAGCAAACCACTGGATTCATGCCTTGTGCACTGCTACACCAAATAGCACCACATGGCTTCATGGCAAACAAACAGGCATCTCCTGATGGTGTTGGTCTCAACATGCAGACACCCTTCTCCTCCCCAGTCCCCAAAGCCTCTCTGGTCTTTGTCCAATTACGACTACAGCCAACTTGCTTAACACCACTATCATCAAGAAGCTTTCACAATCACCAACAATCCTATAAATCTGCTGTTTACGGCACGGCATAAGCCTAATTATGTGATTAAATTCCGTCAAAAAATAAAGCCCACACACTTGCTCTAAAATTGCAATCAGCCCTTTCAGGTACCAAATAAAAGCAATACTAACATTTCAAAGATGTGTTGGCAACACAGCTGAACTGGATTACATTACTGACCCTAAACAAATTGAGGGCATTACTCTTCCTTTGAGTCCCTTTCTTTTATTTTCTGTATCTGCTAGTGTTATAAATACAGGCACTGTGATCACTCCTCTGAATTGTGACCACACAAGTACAAATCATTAACGAGTGAAGCAGCTCAAACACTTATTAACTCCCTATTACATGTTCTTATTCTAATGGAGTCTCCTGCT